GTAGTATTATTTAGCCTATAGGACGCAAGTATCACTGCGAAAATCCATAAATCAATATACTAGAACTCACTAAGAACCAATGCAGAATCAACGGCGTAGCTAGGTGCATGTAGTTGTTTCACCATGGCAATCATGTTGCATCTCTGGGAATTTGAGCTCATGTCGCCTCATCCCGCAAAGCCCGATCACTCTGACGAAGTGCTCGGTTTTTGCGGGTTTTAGCTTACATCACTCGATATGATCTTCAGGTGCTTGCTACTTCATACGCAATATCATTGTAACCCTAAGCCTACAACGGGCCGATCGGCACATCTTAGAGGTGTGAGCATACTACCATACGCAAAGCGGAAGTCATTGTCAGCCTTGTCCTCCGTATCTCGACAGGAACCTGACTGAGGCGGTATAGAACTTGGAAAGTATGTAGCACGATCCTCGTAATCTGGGCCTCGAAAGAGCATCAAATGATCTACACATGTACATGGCTTATCCTTCCCCGTACCCCCTTCGCTTTTCGGTTTCGCAATCTGCATCATGGGATTCCTGAAACCGACACACCTGTTGCTTAATCGAGGTTGCATGCATGTACACATGGCACGTAGATCATTCCACGTCGTTTCAGATTTCGTGGGCGACACCAGCGGTGTCCTCGATTTGGAGACCGCCAATTGCGGAATGTAAGTATGCTGCAGCCACGGAGTACCGAGTAGATCACTACATACAAACCCGACATTTCGATCAGAGTCGCCCCGAAAGGCCAAATCCGTCAACCACCAGGGAAAAGTGGGTGGCAAGGGTTGCAGGAGCTAATTAGGGAACATTTCACCGTCTTTTACTCCTTCCCGCGCATGGTTGACGGCAGGATTCCAATTCGCGGGGGGGATGCATGTAACTCCCATGCAAAGCATGTAAACCACATTATCAGCAATAGGTTGGGCCAGGCCAATCATTGTATTGACCTGTCCACAACCAGAAGTTTATAAGTAACTAAATATACACCTAGACGGTTAGACTGGGAATATTTACCATGACATCATGCTTTGTTGTTCTCACGGGACTGCGCCTGGCCATGCATGTAAACGCTGTTGGTTTTTCTCTGCCTGTGGTTGGTCAGTTAGTCTGCATGTTGCAGACTGTCGTGTAACAAATATCCGATCGGGAAGATGGCTGGGATGGGGATGACTAGCGGATTATTGTTGCTTTCGACTGATTTAGGTACCTAGGTATGCAAGGTGTATCCATTGTAGATTTCGGCTCGGCTCAATGACCTGAGGATATCTAAGGTAGTATCTGATATATTGTCCATATACAACATTGATACCAAACCCGTCCACTCACACAGCACTTCGTAGTTGGTACTAGACTGTACCGTAACTGCTCTCTCCAAGGCACCGGATTTTTCAAAGATTCTGTCCCTGTCTCTTTCTCAATTTCGTCTAGCCTCCGCCCCCATAGATCCCGTTGCTCGCCTAGTCCCCGGCCACAACGACTTGGCGGGTGCGTTGCTTCGGCAAAATATGATTGAATTTAGCAAGCGGTTGCTTCATCCTTCGAGTCGGGTGGATCACGGAGAGTACCCGTGGACATGGATCTGATCTCCAGCAATAGTCACCAATCAAGCCGAATCCACCAAATCCTTTGCTGTTCCCCGCCAACCTAGACGGTCTGGAACTTGCGTCTCCGCGAGAATTCTAGCCATCAGGCAGGGCTGGACTGTTTCTAGCCGCTGTTGGCTCATGGTGTCTTTTTATTCACTGGGGAATTCAACATGTGCGGCCGAGCGGTTAGCAAGGCAGCAAGGTAGCAAGGTAGCGAACTGGCGAACTGGCGAGTTAACCAGTATCAAATTTGATCAGCTGTTGACTATGACCTCGGTGGCTTCTTGGGAGTCTTAGCTTGTAGTTGTCTGATGTCATGGAAGGTGAGGGGACAAGTATCAATGAGAGAGTTTGGGATTTGTCCGCTTGTCCGATCCCCGAGGCTCGACCGAAAGACTGCAATTGAGTCTAACGGGTCTTGGTATGTCCCCAGTAGACCTTTGAAAGCACGAGGGCGAGAACTTTTGGAAATTTCCCCAACTTGGCGAGACATAGTGGTCAAACTTTGAGGCTGGCCAGGGTCCCTGGACAGCTGTTGACACTAGTTCCTTGTCTCACAATTCCAAGGCTGCTTAAGAGCATACTTGGATTACTGTGGTCATTGCCAAATGTCTGGTGTTCCCTCGGGTGATTCATTGAATCCGAACCGAACCGTGGGTATTGCGACCGTTTCATAGCATCACGGTGTAAATCGGACATACCGTGAGTCCTCATGAGACACGATGTATGATTCCGGATGAGCTTCAACCTGTTTCATTATTCGCCAAAGTCCCAAGCCTTGATACGATTGTTCTTCGCTTCCAAGGTCCGACATCCTTGGGCAAAAACCTCGCTTGACATACCGATATAGGAGCGCAGAAGTACCAACAACAGATCCCATGCATGGATCCGTGGATGCCAGGCAGGTGTAAGGACATAGTTGGTGTTGACTCACCGAGGCTCGACACCTGATGGTCCGGAGATCACCTCTGGGTCATGAATAAGGCTTCACCTAGCTCTTGGTACCTTCGACGTTCCGAGGTCTCTTCAATGGGCTTGATTTGTCGAGTGCGCCACATTATCAATGTACGAGGGGATGCGTGTACTTGAGTAGCCAGGTCGTCAAATACCTCAGGGTTTGCCTTTTGCGCAAATTGAGATCATTCCGAGGTCGCAACCTTGAAGGGCTTTGGAACAAGCGACAGCACCAGCGTGATCGATGCCACCTGCTCGATAGGTAGGTTTCGCTCTTGGGCAATGATCACATCGTACCTAGGTATCTATGTGTGCATGCATGCCATGCAGCATGATATATAAGAGGCAGTCTCACGTACGTGCCGAGGTGTTTTTGTTGACTACCCAGGTGGGTACCTAGATATGCATCTTTGAAAACCCCACAGGAGTGAACGGCCTTGCTACTGTCGATCTTTAGAGCAGTGATGAGATCATGCCTAGGTCATTTCCTACCTATGATACTTACAGGGGCGGGCAGTTGGAATCCGAAAGAAATGAGAGATTGAGTCTTGCCACGGAGTGTCACACTTTCGTGATATGTAGGTAGGTAACATTATGAAATTAGTCGTGGGCATGATTTGACCGAATACCAACATTGGAAAACTTTCAATTGACGATGGTCAGTCCTGGGATTGAAAGGATTGTCCCCAGGTAGGGCTATGCCCAGGTGACTTCCACCTGGGCAGCAATCGACGTTCTTTCATCAGACTGAAGACAGCCCGAAAAACAATGCGCAGTCAGAGTCCCTGACTTTCATGATGTCTTGATACTGTATTGCTCCGTTGGGAAAGATGAGGTCCAACGACTGAACATCATCAGCCCAAGGGCGTAGTCGGGACCAAAGGTGTTGTGAACACGCTTCAGGAACACATCTAACAGCGGTGAGAAAGCAACATGTGAAAGTTGATGGAACCTCGCCCAATTCATGCGGCCGGCCTGATCACTGGTCTGGCTACTGGTTTTTCCATTCGAGAGGAGAGAACCGGTCAACTTTTGCACATACGCCCGGTGGAGGGGGTTGTGCTCCACCTGGTACCTTTCAAGGTATCGAAGCTTCTCAGTGGTGGTTGTGAGAGCCGGCATGTCACCACCAATGGTGATGGAGCTCAACTTTACTCCAGGCATGCGAAGCCCGAGCTCAGTCAACACACCCTGCGGGAGAAGGCAGTCAGCCTGTTGACATAGAAAAATGTTTTAAATGGGAAGGCTCACCTTGGAGTCATTCGAAATTTTCGAAAACCAGAACATGGTTCCGGTCGTTGCCATGCCGTATACCGTGGCGTAAAGCGACCAGGAATCGAATAAAGTAAATATTGGGAGGAATGGACATGTGCCCTCCCAAGTGTAGCGTAGCTCTCTTCTCTCGCTCTCTTCAGTTCTCAGTTGTCTCTCACTTCTTAGAATCAAGAACTCTCTGCTCTCTTTCCTGGTGCCAGCCAGCATCTGTCCCAGCAGCAAAGAAGACGGTCAAGCAGGGGCATGACAGGAAAGCTCCCATCGAACAGGTCAGCAACCGCGCTTCGAAGCTGCGACAAGGAATATAAAATCATGGCTGGGTTGATGATGCATAGCATCCAACGCGTAATGGAAAGAGTAGGCAGGATGATCTGTAAAAATGAGTTTGAGCAAGCATGAGGCATACCTACCTAGGTCGGTACCGGCGAAGACAGGAACGAGAAAGTCCTGGAAGCTTTCTCTTCATTTCGCGGGGAATCTAGCGAATGCTAGCGCCAGTAGCATCTACTAAGTACGAGCCAGAATTCATAGACTGATGTGCATATCCATTCTCACATTAAGTACAACTGATCGATCACTCCTATTTACAATCACCTCCCCCGAATTAGATCGAATCAGATCAAGATGCAGAATGCGAGAAGGTCAAAGTGAGACTGATAACCAAAGACCCAACTGAAAACCGGAGATATCAGAAGAAAAAAAGATGGGTAAAGAGATTCATGTAAAGGAACGATGTGCCCGTAGGGAGTGGAACAGGATGGGTGTTGACAGAGCCGAGATAGCAGAACTCCTTTTGGAACAGTAAGTCTCCATGTCAACGGAGACTTCGCGATAATCAAACGTGATACAATCATTTGGTGTTTGGCGGAGACGCCGACGGACGTGGATCGGTCCATAGTCTAGAACCGTGGGTGCGGGATAGTAACATGGGAACATCGTTGACGCTACCGTGATCACCGAAGCGTGCGATCCAAGGTCGGGGGACAAGCAGATGTAGACATTGGTATGCCTTTCGGATATCATAACTCCGCCAAGTGACCCGGATAAAAAAGGGATATTGGAGTGAGAGCCGTAAAAGCTCTCATAAAGCAGGTTGAGACGAAAAAAGGACATGGGCGCGCTAATACTGGATAAAGAGAAGGAAAATGGGGTGCATGAATGGTTCGGAAAGTTGGCTTAGCGATCCGGGTTTGTAACCTACAATAGTCAGCGTGGGAACAAAATCGAGCAATAGGGCTAGGACTTACCTGCAAGATCCGACGGGAGAAGTCATGATCATCGTCAATGCTGCCGTTGCTCTGGCGGCGCTGGGCCATGTAGTCGCCATCGAAGCGCGAATCGGACATTGATGGTGGGCCGGAGTCACGACCATATCCGCCCGTGGGTCCGCCCATGGCAGCATTAGACTTGTTGTTCTTGGATCGCCACCAGAAGAAGCCGGCACCACAGAGAGCGGCAAACCCGACCACTCCCACAACCACTCCAGCTGCAATAGCAGCAGTGTTCTTGCTGCTTGAGGCCTTCTTTTCATCGGACGTTTCCGCAGTTGGGGTGGCATCGCTGTGGGCTGTCACCACAGTGGTTTGTCCACTTGCTGCAGTGGAAACGGCAACACTTGATTCAGATGTTGAGGTGGCCGATCCTCCGGTGGTTGTGCTTGTTGAGCTTGATGAATCCTCGTAAGTGGGAACATCGTCTTCGTAGTTTGTAGTGTAAACCGAGTAGTAGCCATTGCCACCACCTATCGCACGTTAGCATATTGTTTTCTTATTGTGATCCCGTTAGCGATGTACATACACTTATCCTCGGGCCAACCACTGCAGGACTTGCTGCACTTGTCGGTTGAGACTTTGTCACTATCGGGTGGTAATGTGTCACCGCAAACACAATCGGATCCTCCTGTCAGAGCGAATGCGGCTTTGCTCTGACCATAGCAGCGGTCCAAACACCAACCAGAACTCTGGTAGGTCCAACTCTTCGATGCGCCATATCCAGGAATCGCGGAGTAGCAGCCGACGAGTGTTCCGTCGGCTCCTCGGGGAAGGACCTTGAAACCATCTGCCGCTGTGGTCGCAACCAGCACACTGGCCACGGCGAGGGCGCTGTGGATGTTGAACAGCATGATGTATCGGGAAGAAGATCGAGGTTCGGAGGGCAAAGAGTAGGAAAATAAATCACCGCTGGGACCCAGTCGCAGAGGTGTAAAGGAAGTGGGAACGGCCTGCGCAACCCTTAACTTCTGTTTGAATGTATGCCGGTGGCGTTTGATTGCAAGTCAACACGCTTTGTTCGTGTTTTGTGTTGTCAGGCGTCACCTGCAAGAGAAGCGACCGGGGTAAAGGAAGGTGATTTCGCGTTTGACGAGATAGGTCGAGAGGATCACCCCCTACACGTTGGGAAACCGGAGACTGGAATCGAGTCGATGAGCCCGTCCAAAGAGGCAATTAACGAGAGAAGGAAATCGGGGTTTGTCGATGGTAACGAATGTGTGCAGGAGGGAGGGAGGAGTTTAGGGGAAAGAAGTGACGGATAATGGATCCCTTGAGAAAGGGACAGGAGGTCTGTGTTCCCCAGACCAGGTATGAGGTACTCGAAATTACAGGGGCCAATGGTACTGGACCGAAGTACCAGGTACATTGATCTTTTTCACGTTTGTTTGTGCTCCTTGTATGGTGTGGTACCACGGGACGAATAGAATACCAACCAATGAACACACGGTAATATATTAAGTAATCAGGCACCCGCGCGCCCAAACCAGGGGACCGGGGGCTGATCTTCCCGTTTGGGTCAGACACGGGACAAGCTGCAGTCTCCCTGAGACTGCGAATCGCTGTGTATTGAACCCTTGATGACGCCCCGGAGTACCCCTCAAAACACTGTTCGATGTCTATGCGCTGGTCCATCGGCTATTATCGCTCTGTTTTTTTACGGGTTTTATCGCTCTTTACTCGAAAAGTCTCTTTGAAGGACCCACGCCACCCGGTCTCTGTGGCTTTGGGCTGTGACCTCGACGGTTGAAACGAAAATTCTGATCGTCAAACTTCTCCAGTTGACATTTTGTAACCGAGGATTACCGTTGGAAAGAATACCGTGGAGCTCCTGAGGTCATTTCCCGCCCAAGCGGAGCCGAGTTTCAGTACGTGGACCAGCACAAAAGGGTTGAAGGGCTTGTCTACTCCGTACAGTACTGTGTAACTATTCCGTACTCTATAAAGTCCCTTTACTCCATTATTTCGACTGCTATCAAGTTCTATGCATCTGGAAGAAGAGCTCTCAATGTTCTAAATTTAATTCAAGTACTCGCGCGTTATTGTTTACTCAAAGAAATCCTTGTCATACCGGCGGTACCGTTTCCATGGGTAATGAACGGCCGCTCCCGAGTGGACCGGACTGTCGCGTATCGTTCCTGTAACGGAAGGCCCTGCATCACATCCTTGTATGATCCGCATCAGTTACGCACTGAAATTTGAGTGTGGCTCACGATCTGCATTGAGGACTCTCTATGTATCAATATGCCCTACGAGTGCTTTGTACATCCAAGCATTGCTGGGTCTCATGGTCTGCGTGGATTTTGTTTGAGACTAATACTCCGTACATGTGTAACATCCATGGATTAGATGAATACCTGGGCACGACCTGGATGCCCTCAGGAGGCAATCCCTAATACATTATCTTGAACACGTCTTCCAACTCGGAAATTATTTCATAGGCCCACGTTACAATCATGCGAGCACTGGCTTTCAAACGCCTTTGGACCCTTAAATTCGCACATCGATGACCTGACTGGTGATTCCGGATCTAAACGTCTTCCACATCAAATACATTGGGGTACCTTTCTGATGTATCAGATGTGCCTTGCATATCAACCTTGGAAGCGATGCCCCTTGCAATAACATGAGCCACAAGGTTCACCACCATTTATTCTGCATCCTAATACAGTATTATAGTCACGAGTATTGATGGTCTAGAATGTTTCTAGAAGGTCGCTGAACCGTGTGCTTATTCTGTCGCGATGGAAAATGTAGGCACAGACATGCGAGGGAGCCAGCAGCACGCTTTTGATTCTGTCCCTCATCGTGCCGGATGAATATTTCCAACATTGAAGCACTGTACGAAGCACTCGTACTCGGGACACAGCCACAACAGCAAATGACCTCCGAATTTAGAATGATCTTCCATCCAGTGAGACATATTGAAAATCATCTGCTTGGGCCCGATATCCGAACTTGGAGCCGCCTTGAATTCAAATACAGCATGTTACCTTGAAGATTATCGATAGGCGCCAGCCCGGGGTGCTTCCAAGGTTACAGGCCCAAGCGTGGCTCAAGTCCAATACCGAACAAGCATATCTCTACGGAGCACGGAGTAGGCTTTCATTATGCTATACATGTACTTGTGTACTGTACGGAGGAGGCCGGAGAGACCGGCTGCACTATATACTCCGTACACATTAGTACTTCAAAATGGCGTCCACTAGGTCAGCTGAAATCCCCACCTCAAGAATTGAGCGGAAAAATATCTACATTTACCGAGAGAGTAGGAGCCCCAATACCAGATGAGTGTGAAATGTATACTACAGAGTACAATCTATCAATTCCCGTGGACCATGTGTATCCCGGATTACCAGCGAACCGGTTTCAGCAAGTTCAAACGATGGGGACGATTCGGATCTCAAGGCGAGACTGTTCTAGACCCGACCCACGCCCATCGTAAGTACCTGTATGATTGCCAGGGACTTTGGTCTAGACAACACCTAATTTTATCTTGGTATTGTGAAAACTCTGATGTTCACATTGTCTTCTGGCATCTTCTAGGCTCGAAATTGAGTTACCATGTCAAACGGGCTGTTGGACGGGGTGAATGGAGCCATGTTCCAGGTTCCAAATGACATTCAGAGATACTCCCGACGTCCCGAGATCCGTACGATCGAGACGCTTACTCCCGTCGACGTCCACGGGTGCCATTTAATACTTGGTATTAATCCCCAGAGCCCTGGCTCCCGGGAGCTGAACCCTTAATTCCCCCGGATTTCCATACCAAACCCTAGAGTCTTACCTTGAATCCTCTCTTTGAACAGGCCAAATTGCCATCCCCTTCTCGCTGGAGTACGTAGTAGTTTTGTCGCAATGATGCCACAAGCTCAACCCACACGGACCCGTATTAGTAGACACTTGAGCATTCGCCATCCCTCCCGAGGTCCCGAGGTCAACGAAAGTCACTCTGGCACAGAATATTTCCACCCGAAGACCTCAAGACCGTCCTGGCTCTCGAGTTCCGAGGTTAGATACTTCCCATGTAATGTTGTAGAACCTTGCAAGTGCCCCAATTGCCAATGCCAGGAATGTACGGGGTAGCATTGGGTGTATTTGTGACTCTTGGGGAGCCCTCCAAGGATGAATACCTAGGTATGTTGCTGACATCGGGTTGAAGAAATTCATAGATGTACCTAATCAGGCTGAGATGGACGGTATGCCCCCAACAATCCATCCATTTCCAAGTTGATGCCCAGTCCAGGCCGCCCAGCTCCTGATATCTCTACCTACTAGGTAGTACATGATTCGAGGTCGTAGATCGATCGCACGGAGGGACCGTACCTAGGTACCGTGAAAACCGGTATATCATCCCAACCCTGGAAGATTTAAAGTCATGCAGTTGAAGTTGAAGTCAATTATTCATTCATCCTATTTTAAGTAGATTGAGATCAGTCATGATGCTATGCCATATCTATCATGTCCCGTTCAATGTTTATTTTCAGTTGCCCAAGTTGAAAAAGACAACGGCGTTGAGCATTGCATTTCGAGATTAAATGCCTGGCCACATTTGTTTTTCGCTTTTCGCTTATGGCTTGGGGATGTGTATGGTCTTGCTAACCATAAGGCATCCATGCAGAACAAACATCAGGACGACCGGGTGGAACTCGAAAATAGTGCCTTCGGCGAACAGACCAAGAGGAATGTTTTCGTGCGTCCAGCTTTGAGAAACCCAGTAAGCCATGAGCGAGGCGATGGACAGAGTGGTCGGGATGGGAGTGCCTTCGAAGTATTTCGATTTACCGCTCTTGTCCTTGGGCAGTACAGCCACAGTCACATTGAACCGGGCAAGACGGGTGAGACCGCAGAGAACGAAGAAAGTCAGGAAGACGTGGTCAAGGGTGGTGCGAATACCCAGTGCGAACGCGGCCGCAGCAGGAGCAAGGCCGAACGAAATCTAAGTGGACAGTTAGTAATTGGTTGGGCATGGTTACTCGAGATAGCTCACCAGATCTGCCAGTGAGTCAAGCTCCTGGCCCATGAGGGACGACTTCTTGCGCCACCGTGCAACCTTGCCATCCATGAAGTCAAAGAATAGACCAAAGGGCATGAAAGCCAAGGCAGCCCAGATGGCACCGTATTCAGTGGGTTCACCAAGGCAGTAGCGCATGGAAGAGAAGACGGACATGACTGCTCAACATGTTAGTTGTGGATTGTCAACGGTTGGGAAATGCGAGCTTGCCTCCACAGAAGCCTAGAGGGTAAAGTCGGTTAGCGAATATTTCTAAATCATTGCTCGGCATTGCATGGATGTCGTACCATTCATTTCAGTGATCAGATCGGCAAGATGCATGGCCCTGCGGAATGTTAACTGGGCCCAGAAGACAGGAGGCGCGGAGACTAACTTCACCATGCTGAAATGTCCATGATCCGAGGAAAGTAGCATTTTCTGCTTCTCCTGACCTACAAATGGTAAGCTTTGTTGTTCTGTATGGACCAGAGAGAGCTCCGACGTACCTCCATCACCGGAAGGTGGGACACCACTGGAAGAATCGCTCGATGCCATAGCCGATGTCCGACGAGACATGCTCAAACCGATATCAGGTGCGGGGTAATGTTGATAGAAGGTAAACTTGTCACTTTAGTAGGGCTAAGCAGCGATACTGAAGGGTAGAAGAATTGAAGAATGACTGCCAATCCTGCTTGAAGTGTTGACAGACGCACCTCTGAGCGGTCAACGTCATTTTCCAAACTGCAGGCAAAGGCGGTAAGGCGGTGGCTGAGCCACATGACAGGTGGTTGAGGTCGCTTGTGAAGGCAGCCATTTATGCTGCACGGATTAATTGCCAGAACTACAATAAATGACCAGGAACCATTGAATATTTGAACAGAAAGATTTTTGGACTGGTGATATTCTACAGCCTGCAGCCATTTAAGTTGCAATTGTGCAGGATGCACAAGAAGACGGAAAAGATATTCCTGGACAAAGCTCCCATATCCCCCAAACGCCATAAGAAGACAGTACATAGGATCATCGGACCTAATATCCGCGACCACGGAAGCCACCACCACCACGGGGAGCACCGCGACCACCACCGAAGCCACCACGGCCACGGGGAGCACCACCGCCGAAGCCACCGCGGCCACGGGGGGCACCGAATCCACCACGACCGCGGGGGGCACCACCACGAGCACCGAATCCACCACGGCCGCGGGGAGCACCGCCACGACCACCGCGGGCACCGCCAGCGCGCTTGGGCTTGGGAGCTCCAGGAGGAGCCTTGGGCTTGGGAAGGAACCTGTAGAGCGAGTCAGCGAGAGCACACAAAAGCACAAGAGGAGCATTCGTACTTCTCGAGGGGAAGGAGCTTGTCTCCACCAATGTAGACCTTGTCACCAGCCTTGAAGGAGGTAGCGACGATTCCATCCTGGGGCTTGACGGTGAAGTAGACCTGGTTAATGGGACCGAGGATCTCATCGACCTTTCCGATTTGGGTCTGCGGAGGTTAGACTTGTGTAATTGATTGGAATGGGAAGGATGGTGGATACCTTGTTCTCCAAGTAGATCGGGGCGTTGAAGTAAGGAATCTTGGGGTTGACCGACTCGCAGACCATCTCACCCTCGCAAGAGTGCATCACGGATCCCAGCTCTATCGGAAAATCAGCGATATGCTTTCATAATTGTGTATTCTAGGGTATAGTTACCCAGGACGGTGGCAGGGGGGCCGAATGACTGTTGGAAACCTCCGCGGCCTGCAACAAAAAAATTTCGTTAGCTCCTTTTGACCTTTCGCATCGCAACACATTGGATAAATTCTCACCACCACGGCCGCCGCCGAAACCTCCCCGGTTGGCACCGGATGCGCTACCACGACCACGGAAAGACATTTTGTGGTGTTATGGGTGATTGTCGGCTTGTATAGAGCTGTAGAAGTTTTCGCTCGGTGGAAACTTGAAGCGGTAAAGTGTCGCTAAGGGCAGTGCCAACACGTGACTTCCCCCCTCACCGCCTGACTCATTTTCCCCTCCACTGGTGGGCTATGGTCCGATTTCTTTTTGACAAGTCAATTACATTGCGTACGTGACTTAAGGGACCTGAAAATGGCATCCGAAGCCTCCAAGGACCTTCCCGTCCGGCCTGCCGCCGAAGCGCAGGCCAACAACGCCTCTGAGGCCGCCGCTGCCCCGCAGAAAGATGCGAATGCGAAGCCCAAGCAGGCCCCGACCCCCGACGTCCTCCCAGAGGTCATGATCGAGCGCAACAAGCTCTTTGAAGAGCTCTGGCAACAACACCTCGAGGACACCAAGACCCGCCCTCACCCCGAGATCAACGTCAAGCTGGACATTGGCGATGGCAATGACGCGAAGTCGGTCCCCGCTAAGGCCTATGAGACCACCCCCGGCTCGTTCTTGCGCGACGTTCCCAAGGACTTGAGTGCCAACATTGTTATTGCCAAGGTTGATGGAGAACTGTGGGATCTCAACCGGCCACTGGAGAAGGATTGTGCGGTTGCGTTGTTGCCATTCAGCAACCCCGAAGCCCGCGAGGTCTTCTGGCACTCCAGTGCTCACTGCTTGGGAGAGGCATGTGAGTGTGAATACGGATGTCTTCTTTCTCACGGTCCCCCTACTCCTCAGGGTTTCTTCTACGATATGGCTATGCCTGATGGGTATGTAGTTCTCGCATCCATAATTGTATTAATATTAATATTTGATAACATAGACGTGTCGTTCGAGAGAGTGACTGGAAAGCGCTTGACACTAAGGCGTCGCGCATCTTCAAGGAGAAGCAGAGCTTCGACCGTTTGGAGGTTTCCAAGGAGAACCTCAAGAAGATGTTTGCTTACAGCAAGTACAAGCTTCACTACATTGACAAGCTTGTGACCGGAGAGAGCAGCACCGTCTACCGCTGTGGTACCCTGGTCGATCTGTGCCGAGGCCCTCACATCCAAAACACCGGAAAGATAAAGACGTTCAAGATCATGCAGGTGAGCTTGGTCGAGAGTTTCAGTTCTGAGCATAATAAACTAATCTGCACATCTAGAACTCATCTGCTTATTTCCTTGGTGACCAGACCAATGACTCTCTCCAGCGTATCCGTGGTGTTGCTTTCCCTGATAAGAAGCTGATGGCTGAGCACCTCAAGTTCCTGGAAGAGGCAGAGAAGCGCAACCACCTAAGAATTGGAAAAGAGCAAGAGCTCTTCTTCTTTGACGAGATGTCTCCAGGATCCCCCTTCCTTCTCCCCAACGGAGTGAAGATTTTCAACCAGATCCAGTCTCTTCTGCGCACTGAGTACCGCAAGCGTGGCTACCAAGAAGTTCAGACCCCTAACATGTTTGACGTTAACCTCTGGAAGGTGAGTAATCTCAAACTCAATCCAAGCCCTTTGATATTACCTTTACTGACACTCTCAAGACTTCCGGTCACTGGCAACATTATAAGGATGACATGTTCGCCCTTGCCAAGGATAAGGACAGCAGCGAACAAAGCGACAAGCCTGCTGCCGATAAGCAAGCTGTTCAGGTCCCCGCCGAAAAGCAATTCGCCCTTAAGCCCATGAACTGTGTGTCAGCCTCCTCAAGCGTAAGGGACTTTGTTAACAAATCTATCTAGGCCCGGGTCACTTCCTTCTCTTCAACCACCGAGAGCGTAGTTACCGTGAACTTCCTATGCGTCTCGCCGACTTTGGTGTTCTCCGTACGTCACCCGCCTTTTAACATTTGAATCTTGCTAATTTGATATCAGACCGCAACGAAGCCTCTGGTGCTCTCAGTGGGTAAGTTCTACACAGACCATCCAACCAAGAGACCTAATTGCTGACTACTCCAAAGCCTGACCCGAGTTAGACGTTTCCAGCAGGACGATAGTCATATCATTGGTACTGCGCCCTCTTCTCCCGTGGTTTTATCTAGATGGATCACTTGCTTACATTACATTTACCAGTTACCCCTGACCAGATCATGTCTGAAGTGGAAGGTCTGTTCGATTTCTTGCGATCCATCTATGGGCTGTTCGGCTTCACCTTCAAGTTGAAGCTTTCCACCCGTCCCGAGAAATACATGGGTTCATTGGAGACCTGGGACCACGCCGAGGATCAACTCAAGAAGGCATTGACCAAGTTCATGGGTAACGACTGGATGTAAGTTCCGATTTTGCATAACCTGCTGGCTTTGGAGGCATCGCTGACACACCCATTAGTATTGACGAAGGTGACGGTGCCTTCTACGGCCCGAAGATTGACATTACCATTGCGGATGCGCTCAAGCGTGAATTCCAGTGTGCCACTATCCAGCTTGATTACCAAGCCCCTATCAACTTCAAGATGGAGTACATGACCAACGAGCAGAACCAAGGTGCCCAGGAGAAGTCCAAGGAGGGACAACCCAAGGGTGACGAGCCCGGACCCGGCCGTGCTCGCCCCGTTGTCATCCACCGCGCCATCATTGGCAGTTTCGAGCGGTTCTTGGGTATCTTGATCGAGCACTTCGGTGGCAAGTGGCCCTTCTGGCTCAGCCCGCGCCAGATCCTCATTGTTCCCGTCATGCCGGCTGTGAACGACTACGTTGAGGAACTGCAGCAGTTGCTGCGTGGCGACAAGCTCAATGTCGACATTGACATCAGTGGTAACACCATGCAGAAGAAGATTCGCACTGGCCAGCTGGCTCAGTACAACTTCATCTTTGTCGTCGGTGCTTCCGAGAAGGAATCTCGCACTGTCAACATTCGTAACCGTGATGACCCCGCTACTCAAAAGCAGGGCACTATGGTCTCCGTTGATGATGTGCGTGTCCAGCTGAAGGCCCTGCGCAAGGAGCGACGCATGGAGACAGCGCTGTAGAGACAGATTCGTTACAGATTTACGAAAAGTGAAATGAAATATATGCGGGGGTTCAATGAATTCCATTCGAGATGTTGCTTTTTCCAAAAATCGTATGCGTAGCATTGTAGGATGTTGGTGTCCTTGGAGTAATCATATTACAGCCTTGGAAGCCCCGTGGACCCTCCGAGTTGCTGTGAAAGGAGCTGTCGGGCGGTTTCTCAGCCACTGTGGGGGTGACCCGACAAATAGTAGAGAAGCGATTCGTAGTCTATTCAAGCTTCACCGAATACTTCCAGCCAACCCTGGAAGAGCATGTCTTGGGTGTTCTCAACTTCGACTCACTCTATGGTTGTCTTGGTTTAATCATTCAAGAGTTGCTAGTGGCTTGATATGTCGCGAGTCAATCAAGTTCTGCACATTGAGATTTCTCAAAACATCCATGGATAGGACTATGAGGGTCCTGTTGACCGCTACAGTGAGGAGTCAGTCCTCATGCTCAGCGCATGCGCAATGAGCAAATCAGGGCAGACGATGATCAGGTGATGGGCCTGGGCCATCCATGGATCTGAGTTTCCGCACAGGCTCACTGGCCTACGAGTTGATCAACTTAGCTGCGCCGAGGCAATGTCTTCAAACCCAGTTGGATATTCAAATGGAACCGATTGTTACAATATAAAACAAACCGCGCAATTGATCTGACCAGCCTCGACACAATTGATGCCAAGGTTCGTTATGTGGGTTGCTAAGAGCGGACAAGACTGGAAGTCAGTAGCATTGGGCTTTTCAGATGAGCGCTAGATGTGGCTACGTCAAACATTGCAAGTGCGAAACGAGCACATTTGAGTCAGAGGTAATGCCCTCAAGTTCTCTCTCCATTATGCTGGAGTACAACGTACTAAATTGACCTGTAGTGCAAGATGCACCAATCACACGATTTGAATATTGAGAACAAATGAGCATATTTTCTTTACTATTTTTTTTTTTCTTTCATCACGGCCAATCATGTCTGAGCGGATACTTTCGTCCACGCAAAGAAGACATTGTCAAATGACTACCTAGGTAGGAGTAAGCCTTTTCAAGTCAAGGGCTTGCCTGAGGAATTGAAAGGTGTTGCACATATTGGATAGCCAATCGAAATCATCTTGCATCAACCAGGAGAACTTTCACCGAGCTACCTAGATATACATGGAGAGCCGATTTCTTAGTCACACCCTTATCGATGCCAGTGGTCAATGCCACTACTACCTAGCCCTGGAGGTAGGTGGATTTCAGTGTGGAGATTTCCAAGATGACCTCGTCCCGAGTTCATATTCGGATGGAGTACAGTATGTTTTTAACTGCACGCTTCCCCGTCCAGATCTTGATTACTCCGTAGCTTGGGAAATTTCCATCAGGGTTTCTTCTTCCACTTATTCCAGCGTGGAACTTCACCAATCGCCCATGTAAGTTGCTTGGAACCCTTGCCGGATCGACCGCTTGTTACTTTGTCAGTGACGGTCAGTCTTGTGAATCGTGATGGAGACAATCAGCGACAGCCGATACACTGGTGCGGTATGCATGAGTATCACAGTGGTCGGGAATACAACAAATCTTCCCCTTGCGGATCCGTTTTGCAATACAGATGCTTGCCTCGCCTTTGCCAAGGATCATAAAGA